CACTCCTACGACGGCGCAGCTAGATCCCAAACCGAGACAGTAGTTATCCGCTCTCCCATGACTATTGCCTCGACACTGGATACAAGTACAGGAAGTACATCGTATAGGGAATGAGAAAAGCGCACGAAAATTAATGAAATTAGGTCACTTGTAGACGAAGCATTCAGTCAAAACGACATTACTGGAGTAAGGGCAGTGAACCACTGAGTCTAAAATTACGCCTACGCTAAAGATTTAATTGGCTCTCCCAACCAAACAATTGCCGACGTAACAATTCAATTTTTTTATGAAAATTTGTTGCACAAGTCATTTATGATTTTAGTCTGGAATTGGTTGCTCTCCACTACGTGCTACTAAACAATTATTAAAGCTGCCTAACATTAGTATCAGTGCAGAGTTATTATGGCGAGTGCCTGTTGATACGAACAAATTATTATGCAGGCTACAGTAACAGATCCTGTGCCATTGTGGTGTGTGAATTTGGTTTCATTCAAAGTCTAAAAATTATCTAATTTTACTTCATTATCAGCAGAGTTCATACATTCAATTACCTAAGAAACGTTTGTGTTCAAATTTGACTGAGCATATTTGCTCGCCGTGAACGCTCAATTAGTTAAGTTCTAGGAATGTCAATTTCTTTAGAGTGCTTCCAATTAAATGTTGCCAAAGTATTATCACGCATTCCGAGGATCTTGTTTACTGTAAATAGTAAGATTTACGTCAAGACTTGTTCTATAACAAAAGTCAGCACATGTATGTAATTTTGAAGTCAATTATTTATTACACAGTTAACACTATAAACAAGGTTTCCAATCAATTTTAATCACGAAACTGGAAAGTAATTTTTATATTTATATTTAGTACAATCATATCAATATATTCTAATTATCACAGAAAAGAGCGTTTCATGTAATAATGATAAAGTGGTAACAAAACCCACATACTATTACTATGACCATGTTCACACTCATTTATCATTGCTGCATCACATGACTCTATTTTCATAAATTAGATTTTATTAAGATCTAATCTGTGATAACTCTAAAGTAATCAGTCTACTACTACATATTAATACAAACTTTTTTTATACATCTTAATCTGTATTGTCAAACAAAGTTTTTGCCAAAAATGTCATAACCATCCTCCATTCACATTGCTATTTAAAGATTGTCTCATTCTGTAGCTGTGGCTGGTATCAGCTAAGTCAAATATAATACATAGTAATAACATTCTAATCAAATGCTATTATTATTGCTATTACTATATAACAAGTTTAATACCATTTTGTAAAGACTTTGTTAAAGTTACTAATCCAGCTTTACTAATCTGTATGTACTTAAGATCTAGTACTAGTGAAGTTAGAGAAGAGTTTGAATTTAGAGCCTCTGCCAATGCTCTTGCTCCTGTTTCTCCAATATTATTACAACTAAGATCCAAAGTAGTAAGAGATGAATTTGATTCCAATGCTTTTGAAAGTGCCACTGCTCCTGTTTCCTCAAATTGATTACAACTGAGATTTAAAGTTGTCAAAGCAATTTTTGATTTTAGTGCTTCTGACAATGCTGTCACGCCTTTATCACCAATATTGTTATAGCAAAGATTTAAAGAAACTAATGAAGATAGAGTCTTTGACAATTCCATTGCTCCTTCATCTCCAATTTTGTTGTACCTGAAATCTAAATCAGTAAGGGAAGAATTTGATTCTAGTGCTTGTGCTAAGGCTGTTGCTCCTTTATCTCCAATCTTATTTTCTCTAAGATTCAAAGATTTCAGAGAGGTATTTGACTTTAAAGCTTCTGCCAAGGCTATTACTCCTTCATCTTCAATATGATTTATAGAAAGATCCAAAGAAGTCAGACAAGATAAAGAACCTGATTCTATATCTAGAGCTGTTGATAATACTGTAATCCCTGCATCTCTAATCTGATTTTGAGAAAGATCTAAAAAATGTAAAGAGGAATTTAGTTTTAGAGCTTCAGACAATATTCTTGTACCTGTTTCTCCAATATGGTTTATAGACAAATTTAAAGAACTCAAAGCAATATCATTAGCTGATTTCAGTACGTTTGATAATGCTGTTATTCCTGTTTCCCTGATCAAACCACAGCTTAAGTTTAATGCTGTTAAAGTAGAATTTGATTCTAGTGCTCTTGATAATGCTCTTGCTCCTTCATCTCCAATACCATTTGAATTAAGATCTAAAGTAGTTAGAAAAGAATTTGAGCTTATAGCTCTTTCCAAAGCTTTTGCTCCTGAGTCTCCAATACAATTAATAGACAGATCCAATAAAGTCAAATTACGGTTTAACACTAAAGCTTCTGACAATTTTCCTGCCCCATTTTGTCCAACCATATTATTACTAATGTTCAAAACTTTTAAAAAAATGTTAGATTTTAAAACTTTGACAGTGCTGCTATGCCTTCATCTCCAATATTATTCATAGAAAGATTTAAAGAAACCAAAGAGTTTGATTCTAGGACTTTTGCCAGGGCTATTGCTCCTTCACATCCAATATAGTTGCATGAAAGGTTCAAATCAGTCAAAGACGACTTTGCTCTTAGTGCCTTGGATAATACTGCTGCTCCTGCACTTCCAATTTGATTACAAGTAAGATTTAAACAGGTCAAAGAGGTCAAAGGTGCACTTGACTCTAAACGTGCTGTCAATGCAAGTGTGCTGGTATCTGCCATTTGACTATTACTGGGAACCAAAGAGGTCAGATTACGAAAAGAAAAAGATCTTGCCAAAGAACCTGCCTTTGTATTGCCAACTTCTTTATTATTGGAAGTTGGACAAGAGTTTGATCTTATAGCCTTTGCCAAAGTTTCCATTCCAGTATCTCCAATATTATAGCCATTTAAATCCAATTTTCCTCCTAGCATATCATCAAGCAAAGATTTTAGTCTTTCATGTACATTTTTGCATAATGGTCTCTTGCTAGGACACTCATGCCAGCATTGGGAATATAAATCAATGTACTTTTCTGGTGTTCCAGGAACGGGATCATCTCTCATGTTATTTCTTCTATATGTAATTATATCATGACTGCGGATACGTCCTCCACATGGGCTTTTTCCACTGGAAATTTCCCATAATACCACACCAAGGCTAAATACATCTGACTCTTTCCCTCGTTTGTATGTTTTATCATCATCATCAAAAATGACCGGATCAATGTATGCATAATTGCCGTCATGATTTGATAAAGATGTAGATTGTTGTTTCAGCACAGTGGCTAGGCCAAAGTCAGCTATCTTTGCAGTATCTTTCTGAATAAGAATGTTTTGAGAAGACTATGGACAAATAAAATTATTACAATGATATAAGCATAATTAACAATCATATAGGTACATATCGCTAGATTAATATGCACAATTGATAAATAAATAACTAACACCATACCAAGTCCTTGTGTACAATATTAAGCGCATGTAAGTACTTCAATCCGTTGGCGATGTCCAGACCTAATTTGTACTTTTTTTCCCACGTCAAGTCATTAAAACATCGTTTTAAGTATTTGCCCAAACACCCATCCTCAGCAAATTCAGTGACCATATGATAGGTTTTGGATGAATCTGACTCGTATAAATATCAAACAAACAAACCATGAATCTCGAAATATAAATCAAATTCAATGTATTTAACATTTTTTTTACCTATGTATAAACCAAAACAGCGGATAACATTTGGATGGTCATCTACCATCTTGTGAGTTTTTAACTGGAATGCATAGAATTGGTTTATTTTAGATACGGTATGACAAGCAACTACCGCACGACAACCACATACCTCTTTAACCAACTTCTCACACGAATCCTGCTCCTCGTTCGTAAATAACATCTTCAATGCAACATTTACGTCTGTATGCTTCAACTGTGCCTTATATACCACGCCAAACCCACCGTTGCCGACAATCGTGCGGTTTACAATTTCATTCTGCGAATAGCGTTTAAGCGTAACGTCTTCAAGTATTTTGTCCAGAGACATATTGAGCAAGCAATGGGTGTTGGCAAGCAAAAGTGAACCAGTAAAAAACTCAAAAACTTTGAGCTGTCTTTTCGATCGGGAACTAATCTAAAGCAGAAACTGACTGAAAACAACTTGGTACTGCTCGGAGTCACTTCATAGAGTTAACCGTTACACCACAGGCAAGTGTTTGTATGACATACACTATTAATATTAGAAACTCTTAGTAATAGTATTACTGTATTAAGCGGCCGTTGCGAAGCATGTCAGGCATGCACGGTATGTAAAAAAGTCGAACATACAATCTTCAGCTAGAGTTGAGGTGCTAATGTTCTTCGTGAACCATTCCCCCGGTTTTGTTTTTAGCGTATACCGTGACATCAGCGCTTGGGATCTTTGACTGCTGTGCACGGATTGAGAGAACGCAAGGAATGAAGTAAGCAAAACGTGGCTAATATTAAACGTAATAACTTAATCAAGGACCGAGTATGTAGGTTATATGTAGCTGGCGTAGGTTGTGGCGTCCGTCGGTTTTGCCCGGTATCTGGTTAAAGCTTGTTAACCTTTTCAGGCTATGGTCAAGTGGGGTATCGGTTGATTCCAGAGCTTCTCTAATGAAAATTATGCACAAAGAGAGCCGTTACGGGGGAAATTCCGCAGGTGTGTATATGCGCGTTTTTTGTACCTTAGCGTTTTTTGTACAATCGCGTTTTTTGTACCGCGCAATATATGCAATCATTATTTGGTAAATTAAAATTCACTCGTAACTATGACGTAGGCTGTAATTCATTTACTAACGCTGCACGTTTGATTTCGCGACCTCCTTAAACCCTGCATTTCAAACTAGACTTGCTGGATAACACGAACATCGGATGACTAGCATATAATATGAGAGAATAACGGGAGCAGATCTTTGTGTTGATCGAGCAAGCCACTTTATATGTTAACCGAACTCACAGCGAAAAGTTGATTCAAGCTATCGTTACTATAGACGAATATGTGAGTATCTTGACGATACAGATACCGGAAACAAGGAATGGGTATGTTTAACTTTGTGCTTTAGTTTGAACAACGCGCTCAACGTCTTTTTTCTATTATGAACTGCGACCATGAACAGAGGGGAGGAAAGTAGAGTACTTCTCACATGAATACGAAAAAGCGCATCCAAAGACTAATGATAGCCGGATCGTGATGATAAAACGCAAGATATCTGTCTATTATAAGGTATCAATCCACTGTAATAGCATTCGCTTGCTTTTCTTATCGTAGAGATCGACCGTGTATTTAATCCGTGCGCTTTTCGCTCATCAGAACAAGGACCCTAGGCTCGAAACGCAAACGTCCTTTCCGGCACATTAAGAGTTGACCCAACGAGG